CACCGCAGATCGGTTAGCTTCGGTCTGATCTTTATGTTTCAAGCTGCCCATATGCATATGTGATGCCATTCGACGGAACTTAATCCAGAGCACAGCTCCCCCTGTTGCTTTCTGATAACGACAAGGGTTATATAGCGGGCGGAGGTAATTGATACCGGATGATGATAGCGCTACCGCCATCAAACAACATAGGAGAGACGAAGAGGGCTAGCCTCAAGAGCAAAGAAAATGACAACGCCTGGTTAATACGTGCAAGGTTGCAATTAATGCCGATCGTACTCAGCTTTTTTCCACCCACTATTTGGGGTAATGTGTTGATGATCCAGTGTTGATAGCTTGCCCGACTTGGTAGCATCAAAAAAAAGCATATGGAATCACGTGATGATAACACCGGCCAGATAGCGCTAACCTGAACAGGGATGAATCATGGAGATATAGCTTTGACTTCGCCTTCACCAGTAGCCGTGTAATTCCCAACTTCACAGCCTTTCGCTACTAACTCAACATGTCTCTGCCCCCGGAACAAATCAATATCAAGCGGCGTCGCGAGGAAGAGCCCGTCGACACATTATGTGAGCAGCACCCTTGCTTGATTGCTTTTTTTCTTTTCAACCATTCATTGCATAAGAAGCGGTTTCCTCAAATTTCCGACCTGGCGACAATCTCATCTATCTAACTCCCAGCGCTACAGCTTTTCTGCTTCATCCGGAACTAGAACTGATGACCTTCAACAGATATCCAATCAGAGCTTCATCAAACTAAACGAAGGTTTACCGACTTTGTTTTCCAACGTGTCCAGATTAAGGGCCATGGTCCCAAGGGCCCCACCAGCGAAGCATCCAGTCCATCGCCCCTGGTGTCCGGACAGCAACGAGTGATCCGCACACCACGGTCCGTGAGCAGTGGTCTGCCACCTTCAAGCACCGCTCCGGCGGACGGTGTCCCCTTGGTGAGGGCGACCTCGCCCGGGGCGGAATTCCGCGAGGAGCGCCGCCTCGCCGCCGCGCGGCGGGAGCACGACGAGAAGCTGAAGAGAGCGCTGCACTCATCGCCGGGCCCGTCGACCCCGCTGTCGCCGGCCCGCAGTCGCTCCCCGGCACCACTCGACCGTGCCGCTAACCCCACCGCCGCCTCCAGTGGGCACGAGAGTCCCGCGGCCTCGCAGCAGTCGCTGCGGCGGTTCCAGATCTCCCGGTCTAGTACCCCGATCAACAGTACCCTCCGGGGCACGGGGGCGGGGGTCCAGAAGCGGAAAGGGGACGGGCCCGTGGCTATCCTGGTGGAAAAGCTGAGGCGCAAGCCCCATTCGAGGCAGGCGTCTTTGGTGGCAGATGCGGTTGCCGGTGCTGAAGGGTTGGATGGGGTCTCGGGTCCGGGCTCGGGTGCTGGGGCGAAGGCAGCCGTTCGACCGCGCAAGCGGCCGGTGGTGAACCAGGCGGAAAGGAAATGGCGAGAAGAGCGCAAGAGCGCGATCTCGGCTGCCAAGCAGCATATCTCCCAGGTCCTGGATCAGGAATCCCAGGCTTCTCACCAGAGGACCTGGGAGGATGAGTCGGAGCGACTCGCAAAGGAGCTGGAACAGGTTGCCCTGGAGTTGGATGCGGAGAGGGAAGTGGATATGCAGCATGCGGGGCCGCATAGCCACCCGAGCAACATTGGGTCCTCCTCGAGTGTTGGAGGTGGGCAGCCGTCGTCGTCTCATTCGGTGGGAATGCCCAAACCGCCCCTAAAGTACCAACCGCGAACACCCAATAAACATCGCTCTACGCAGAAGCCAGGTGAGGGCAGCTCTGTACAGGATCCTAACTCGGCCGCAGCGGCGACCGACGCCCTGCCTGCGGAACAGGATGACGACGAGGAGAGCGACGGCGAATATGTCTACGATACGTACATTCGGAAGCCGCTTCCAGTTAGTGGCATGCTTACAGACCCACTTGCAAACCTGGAATTGGACCATGACGCCTGGTTCAAGCAGCACGGAATCGATATGACTCGTCAGGATATTGGAGTTATTGTCATTACGCAAGAGGATGAAGAATATTGGGAGAATTTCGCTGAGGAAGAGGAGGATGAAGAACGGTGGGACAGCGAAGATGCAGACTCGAATGGTAAGTCCAAGCGCAAGGTCCTGTCGAATTGTGAAGACAGGGAGAAGCGAAGAATGAAGGATGAAGGATGAAGGGCTAACGGGCATGGCGCGACACAGCTGAGAATAATCCCGCAAATGATTACCCGGATGAAGAACTGTCGTGGGACGATGAGGACGAGGACGCGACGGCTATCTACACTAAATACCGAATTCATGCGCGGTCTGATGACGAGGAATTTGACTTCGACGACTCCGGCAGCGAGGGGCCCCGTCGATTCGACTATGGGTTCCGGTCACACGTGGAGTCGGATGAGGAAAGTTGGTGAAGAAGGATTCGAATAAGGTCTGTGGGACTGAGCTCAGAAAGCGGGAAGGAATTATTCACAAGTCGAAGAAGGCAGCCGAGACTAGCTGGGGTGGCTGCGTCTGCAGAACGAAAAGGCTGCCTGGTTTGGTAAAGACGGTCGATGCACGGTACTTTGGGGCCGAGTGCAGTGCTGCAGGTCGCAGGAGGAACCGACGGCGACGACGACCACGGAAAAGAGAAAATGATACACCTTATGAGCCATTCAAGCAGAGAAACAAAGGAAGACCTGTTCCTCGATAGCGATTTCAGATTATGCGCGAGCGCGAGAGAGAAGAGAGGGACAGAGATAGAGAGCTCCGAGGAAGATTCGTTCTACGAGCCAAGGCATCCATGCGTCGCAAAACTGGCAGCAGTCTTTCTGCAGAATCCGCAGCCATTGTTGTCAAGCTTAATCGACAAAGAAAAAGGAAAGACAGATCACGATAGCAACAATCCGCAGGCTTTGTTCCGGTGATAGCATCTATACGTTCACTTGCAAATCAGCCAGCCAGCCAGCCAGTCAGTCTCACCTAGTCAGCCCTGCGATGCGTCCCAAAGAGGAAACAGACAAGACGCTCCATGCTGGAGATTGCGCAGCAAAACTGTTCATCCCATGAACAGCCAGCTATCAGTTACCCGAATTAGATTGAAGATCGTATTTGCCGGTGATCGTGTCTCGAAAGGAAGGGAAGGGAGAGACAGACAAGACAATCAAATAGATTGGATTTGATGCAGACCGAATGGAATGGAATGAATGATTGACTGATTGAATTTGAATGACTGTATGATTGAATGATTGAACGATTGACAGCACGAATGGGCCCCCATAAGATGATGCGGGGTAATATGGACAATCCCCAACCCTTCCATCCTTCCATCCTTTCCTTTTTCTCGTCGAATCCTTCTCTGTCTTCTCTCTCTCTCTCTCTCTCTCTCTCTCCACCCCTCAACAATAGTATTCTCCATTATGACAACAACAACCACAGCAGGACGGGACCAAGCGAAGGATAGCTTACCCGCTTACTACACCCGAATCATCCCATGATACTTCCACATGCACAATCTCATCATCGGTTCTGCATCCCAATCCTATTCCTTCCTGAGCGTGAGGATCCATGCGCGATCGCCATGGTCGGCAAGAGGGTTTTGTTCTGTTTTGTTTGGTGTTTTCTTTGTTTCAGTCGAGTTTCTTGCCATTGTGCTTTGCTTTTGCCCCTTCCTTTTTTTTTTTTTTTCTTTTTTGCTTTTTCTTCTTCCTTCCCAGGTATCGATTGTCTATGGGGCCGTAGTCAGAACTCCATAGACCCTATCAACTTATTCGCTGGAGATCCTGATACCGCTGTAACTTGTTGTATATCACCTGCGCCCACTTCTTCGTCCTATGTACTGTACTTAGTAAGATGTTCACTTTATGTACAACAATTCCTGATACTCAATATTGTCATCACCAACACCACCACCACTATTATTCACAACAATAACAACAACCATATCGCATTCATACCTGCAGACACCAACTCCCAATGATTGTTCTATCACTTCTCAATTCCCCTGTGCCCAATCGAACATCACCGATCATTCCCGCGGGGATATTATCAATATTACACTCCAGAACAGAAAAGGACCTAGATCAGCACGGCCGCCTACCACAAACTGCCACCCCCCCTCCCCCCCACAGATCTCACTTCCGTTCGGTCAATCAAAAGGTCCATTGCAGAGTTTTAGTGATTTTCTCTTCCTTTCCTTTCCGCACCCACTTTTCCTTGAGCTATTGCGTCAAGAGAAACGCAGTAGTCAGTAGTCAGTCGTCTCGAGAGGGGGGGGGGGGGGTTGTGCAGTGCGTTGAACGAACATAACAATAATATCCCAGTGCTGAGTCGTTAGTGTGCATAACATGCAAGCAAGGCCTGCACAGATATCATGCTGACGATTGAGCCTATTATGGATGCACAGTATATCGCTGTGCTGTGCAATACAATATACTTAGTACAATACTCAACAACACAGATATGCAATATGCATTCGCTTTCTGCCTTATAGCCCTTGCAACTTGCAATAAATACCTTGTGGAGCTTAGCTAGCTCGCTAGTCAGCCAGAGAGCTAGAGCTCTCTCTTTGAGCATTCGGTGGCCTTCCCCATGTACTGTACCTTTGGACCTCACGGGTTGCTTAGCTGTAGAATCTCATGCATGGTCATTGGCTTAGTATGATGGGAGGGAGGGATAGGTCTACTGTAGTATACTGAGAGTGGGAACCCAGGTCCAGGTAAGGCTGTATTGTACGTAGATAGTTTCAACGGTTACGAATCTCCTTTTCCCTTGTTGGGATGGGATGGTCGAAGTACTCTTCCCAGGAAATAAGCGAGGTGAGGTATTTGTCATGCTTCAGCCAAGCCAACGTATCATTGTTATACATCATATCAGATCATCTTTCGAAGGGTTGGATCTCAAGGCTTTCTTAGGTTCACAACCTTCCCTTCTCTTCCCGTCTTATGCATGACTAATTCGGTAACAGGTCTTCTGGTATTGCTTGCCTCGTTGTTATTAGCCTGACATGTACAGTACTCGTATTGTACATTACGTTACTTTTCATACCTCCTTGTCAACGGACAATCTCGGACTTCGGAGGTAACTTATGGTGCGATGTAGTCGGCGACATTAGGCACGAAAAGGTTTAAAGTGGTATCCACCAGGGGATGATGATAGAATTCTTCCACGTCAGTCAAGTCATCACGGATAAGTTGAACGTGGTATTCGCCATCCAGACAAGAATGGTAGGTCCATCTGAATGGTATGTGATAAATCTGACCAGACAGACAGCGAGGTAAATAGGCGGTATGCCTCCATATATAAGAAAGCAAAAAACAAGTGCAAATCGACAAGTTCCTCCCACAGGCCCAGTGCGTTTTATGCATGCTCATAACGACAAAAAAGCAGACATCCTCCCAGGCAAATTTCAAGACATGCTAAAAGTGACTTTCAAGTGGCAAATAACGAGCGTGAGAAGAGACAAAGAGAACCAAGGAGATAAGACGGACGAGAAAAAAAAATTAAAACGTAGAGGTATCGTCGGGGTCGGCCGTGAAACAAAGATGTGTTAGGTAGCAGTGGAGTAGGTAAGAAGAGAGAGCAAGCGCTGATGAGCGCAGGAGGGAAAGAAATGACTCGACCACCAGGCGGATGCTGATGAAGCTATCCGAAAACAGGATTATCTACCTCGCAATTCGTCGTCTGCGCACCGTTTCTTTGTCCTCGCGCATCCATGGATACCAGGTCCCTACCCACTCGATAACTCCAAATTTCGGAGCCCCCGAGTCGGCAACTCCCGCCCCCTCCCGCAGAAAGTCGCCGTCACGCATGCGGCGCTGCTCCCGTAATGTGGGACACTTCTTCTCTTTGATGAAGCGGTAAAATTTGCATTGGATTCCTTGGAACCCACGTCGCTGCCGATCTGGGAACTGCCGGTTGAAGCTTTCACGGACCTCCTTCCACTCTTGGCCGAGGTCCACACGGTGGTACCAGATGAAATACATCTCTTCTTCTTCGTATTTGGGTCGGGGAGGCCGCCGTCGCTCCGCAGCATTGCTGGAGCTGCTAGATACCGAATCATATCGATCACGAGAGCAGGGATCCGGGGAGGATTCTACCGATCGTGTCCGGTAGGGCAGGTATCCCTGCTCCTGCGAGTCCTCCCGATAAGGATGGCGGCTCTCTGAGTAGGACGTGTAGAAGTACTGATTCGGACTAGGCGGGTATAAGGGCGAGCCGTGCTGGCTATATTGTGACCGAGTACTGGCATTTTCACTTTCGGCGGATGGATTCAATAGGGAATCAATGGCCATGCGGCTCTGACGGGACGAGGCAGGCAAGTAGCTCGCCCGGTGCTGCTCATGAATGGCCTGCATCTTCGACTTCGGTGGTGTTTGTGACGAATGTCCTCGAGGATGGTTGTCTTGCACAAGTACACAAGGCTCAGCGTAGAATAAGATGATGAATCAAGGCGAGCCACAGTGAGGGAAATAATGGGCACCACTGATAAGAAAGGAAGCAAGAAAGAAGATGCAGATTCAGATCGAAGTAGCACCTTTTGTATAAGGAAAATGAAGCGGTAGCAGCAATAATGGGGAAGGAACCACCAGAGATTCGACTTGGGTATCGGCAGGCAAGATGATATCTCAAATAGTAGACAAGCCAGGATAGCCAAGAAGACTCGAGAGACGGGGGAACCGAATGAGGAAGAGAGGAGAGAGAAGAATAAGAGTGATAGAAGTAAAATTGGAGCACGGAAGATCGAAGCCACCCAAATGTGATAGATAGTAGGGGTTTGGTTCAGCAACAAAGGCCAAAGGTAGTTTCTTTTTCCACTCCACGGGGCGAGAAGTAGAGTGCCTTGGCTGTTTGCAACCAAAAATTCTAGGCAGATCAATGACGTGGGAAGACAGAGAGAAGAGATATCAGAAGGTAAAAAGAGGAGCTGTGCAAGATGAAAATCCTTCGGGCCAGCCTTCCTCCTTAAAGCATCACCAACGCCGCACGAGACTTCCGGTTGGATTCCCGGTTGAGGGCAATGGCGACGAAGGGTCCCGTTAGTGGTGTTTAGTTGTGCTGACCCATGCAGCGGTACCAGAGCCCTGGGACGGACTGGCCTGTGATAGAGGCCGACGGTGACTGCGCCCCCAGTTCAGTCGTGGGGGGAAGGGGGAGGGGGGGGGTTATGTCGCTTCTAAGGCGGGTAAATGAGGTTGACCGGAGTGATGCGTAGCGCCAGCAGCAGTAGCAGGAGCAGGGGTGGGTGGTAGCGTGGTGGTAGTGGGTGGGTTGGTGGGTGGGTGAGTGAGTGGTACGTCGTTTGGTGACAAGGACGAGAGGGGTAGAGGCGAGGCAAATGCAGAAGGCGAAAAGAGCCTTGTGGTGATGATTATGATGGTGGTGGTGGTGGTGGTGGTGGTGGTAGCATCAGTAGTCCTTAGTAGAAATGGTTGTCTGGTGATGTTGATGCTTTTCTCTTTTCGTACCTTCCACTTCTAGTACTTCACCACCGCGGGGAGGCCCTCTCTTTAAGAGTTATATGCTGTACAAAACTCGCCCCCAGATAGATTTGAAAAGAATAAACTTATCAAGTCAGCGGAGATAATGCCCTTGAGAAGAGAAATTATAATTGAGAAGAGACAAGATTATTCTTTTCCCCAAAAACAATCTGGAGAAAAAAAAAATAAGAAATAAAGAAATAAAGAAATAAAGAGAAAGCAAAAAAGGAAAAGAAAAAAAAAAACCAATTTCCCAGCGCAGAGCTTGTTTCTTATATGCAAGGATGTCGTCTGGAAATGTTCATTCAGTCATTTTGAAGGATTCGCCACTTTTCTCCACGACAAATGGATCCTCCTCAAGTTCTAACCCGTAAGAAGTGTAATACTGATAATAGCAATAATGATAATAATTATAACAATAATCTTGCTGATGTGGATGTCATGGACGGATGGAACAGTTCGGGGAGTGGAGATCATCCAAGGATCACGTTGGCAGGCAAGCAGGCAAGACAGAGACAGACACAGACGTGCAGTTCATGCTGGAACAAATCAGTGTTCGTGTACTGACTTACATGTACTAGTCCCCGTTGGACCGGGTAATTACATTGCGGCTACTGTATTTTTAAAGTTTTTCTTTTTTCTTTCTATTTTTTTGGTAATTCGTTTTGTTTTTAAAATGACTACTCTTCGAGCGAGGGATGGAGGGGGGAAATACCTGGGCTGATAGTAGGATGGAAAACCAGTGGATATGTTTTATTTATCTTGAATTCCATTCGATCGAATCTATTGTTGAACTCCCCCCCCCCAAACGACGGATCCACTGACATTGAATGGAAGCAGGTCAGCCTAGTGTTAGTTCATGCATCCTGCTCCATCATATCGAGAATCAGAGATGTGCCCCCCTCCCCCGTTACCCCCTTTCCCCGACGGTATTAAAGGAGCCGCAAGAAAGAGCTTTGACTGAAGCAACGGTGAGTTCGGGTGGAGGGAATTTGACCTAGGAGATTAGATTTCTCAAGTCAATGGAGGGGGGTTAGTAGTGCTATGGAGTGATCAGTTGGACCCGTGTTCCGATGATGGACCAAGCTCCGCGGGATCAAGTCAATCAATCAGTTTCCGAACTCGCACGGTCGTTTCGATGCTCATTCATCACTCAGGGTTGACGGAATGCCGGATGACTCCCAGGATCAGCCCAAAACCTCCAGCCTGGAGCTTGAACGTTGGTTGACCCCATCTGCATGCGCAGCGGGGGAACAGAAGATAGAAATCAGACAATAAAAGGAAAACTAAGGAACGGACGGATCTATCCTCGTCCTTGCACGGACTCTCCCTCTCGCGCGCGAGACCATGCAGTCGACAATGAAGGATGCCTTCTAACGTTCTAATTCAGGGGGACCGTACGGTTTTCTCTCCTACCTGGCTCATCGCATGCAGCTCGACTGCTGGCTGGGGGAGGGCCACAGATCGATCGGCCTATTGGGATCATGACAAATACTCGATGCGACTTACTCACTAGTCAACTGAGGTATACCTGCACAATCCCAACGTGAACATAGCGATCAATAAAGAGATTCCGTCGACATGGTGAGCTATGTCTGATTGTAACTGACATACCGACTTCTCGCTTTTCTGTAAAACCACGTAGCATGCGATGCTCATGGAAAAGTTTTCCTGGGCTATCAACTCGGCTGGTCGGGCCAGTCAATATATTCGTCTTAAGATAGGAATTCAGAGCCTTCCTCTCTCAGCCATCCATCTGTCTGTCTTCGTCAGATATCCGGCCATGAAGAATGTGTCATGCTTGCCGTATTGTGATTACGGCAGCAAGGGCTCGTATTCGGTTCCCCACCAGCATTCCTCCTCCTGCACAGGAAAAAGGATGCGGACGGGTTAAGTCGATACAAGTTGTCTCAAAGCCTCTTGGACAGTCAAGAATGTGGACAAGAAAGGGGCGGGTGATGATCTGATCGCGGGCTCATTTAACTCATGTAACTCATGTATTACCTGATGAATGTAAATCATGATGAAATTAGGTCAAAGAACATTTACCAGTTGATGATGATGATGACGCGGTAAAATTACGCCCGGCCGCCGGCCACCCTGCAGCCCTGCCATTGCAAGGGAAGATTCAGAAAAAATACGGAGCTGATAGGTCGGTCCCATGGCTGCAAGACGGGTGAACCGAAACGAAGCATTGCAGGGTTCAGAAGTCAGTCGCTGGCGAAAGAGGAAGGAAGGCCAGAAGGAAATAGAAAGATTGAAAAAAAAAAAAAAAAAAAAAAAAAAAAAAAAAAAAAAAAAAAGGGCCTCGAGAAACATCAGACGACACCTGGTCCGCTTGAATAGCCGGTTCGTTTGCTCCTCCTGCGGTGCAGTGTGGCACTAAGGGTGTGTGGGTTCATCATCTCTCCTGCTCATTGCAAGCGGTGGAGCCGTGAAGTGCTGTTCAATGTTCGCCCCGAAGTCCCCGACATCTACTCTTAATTAAATCCGCCATCTCTGGGGATTCCACCGGGTCTCGACCCATCTAGGAGCAAATGAGAATCAATGAAGAGATATACTTCTTCTAACTGGGAAAGAGATTGGCTCGGTTAGTAGTGCTGCACCGGGAACACGTTCGGTGGTAGGGAATGATCCGACAGCTAGTCAGTCAACGCGGCCACAGTCTCTGCATCGTAGAAAGAGAGAGGGAAAGAAAAATCCAGGAATACAACTAGGAGGCCTTACAGTAGGTCAACTGTCGGTGGGGAGGGGAGATGATCTGGAAAAGCAAGGTGAATTGTTTGAAGTAGCATGCAGAACCGCCCTTTACCCGTGCTTCGAAAGTGATAGGGCAAAACAGGAATAAAAGGCAGCCGAAGCGGTATGATTTTCCAGTTAACTACTCCGTATGTTTAAAACGATAACAGGAAAAGAAATAAACACAGAAAAAGGTAAAGGGTCAGACACTGACAAAAAGATCAACTGCAGCATTATCTCAATCCAGTAGAGGGTGAATAGATGCTTGCTGAAAATAAAATAAATTTTGATGAGAGAGAGGGGAGGGGGGGGAGGACTCGGGCTTGCGAAATCGCTGCAAGAAAAGAAGAAAAAACCAGAAGCAGACCACCAGACACAGAAACAGCAATGGTTGGAAGCGACCAGCCAACAAAAGGGCGCGCATAGCCCGCGTCTATTGGGCGCGGAATGGAATCAGCAACCCAACCTGCAGTGGCTTTGCTAGTGTACCAGTCTGTCGGGTCCAACCTACGAATAATATCGAAGCTCTATATTTGCCTAGCTCTTATGGTCTCAGATTGCGCAGGGCCGCTGCTGCAGTGCTGAAGGACAGCAGCCAACCTGACAACCAAGCGGGAGACACGATGTGGGTGTGGGACCTTCCCTTCCCTTCCCTCCCCTCCTCCCTTCTTCCCTCCCTCCAAGCCCACACAGCAGTGCAGCACATCATCACACCGTACTTGCCCTATCGATGGCCAGATGATGGTCCACACTGCCTGGTATACCCATCGATGCAGAGTAAAGAAAAATAAGGGAACAACCATGTCACCTTGGGCCATGTTACTCGACTACTCGACTCGACTCGACCTTTCCATATTCCCCATCATCCGACATACTTACTGTGTGTCCTATTCACTACGAGTAGTCCTATGCAGTAGGCTGTACCCTGCACAGTCAGGTACTCTGTACTACGGTGTAGATACCAATCTGCAGAGCCTGCTGCCAACGCATCTCTGCAGAGGTGAGCCGATCACTTTCTTTTTTCTCTCCTCACAGTCGTCATGAAACGGGATGAGCTCATGTCCCACTACCCTCCGCAATAATTGAGAGGGGGTGAGGAAGGAGGAGGGCGAAGCAGGGAATATGGCCGGGTTTTCACGTGTTCAAGGTCTGAAGCTGATATGCATGATAAGAACGGCAAACTACACAAGGTCCCTCTTCCGTTACCAATGAATATGCGTCGCTGTTCATATACACAAACGGCTGAGCAGAAAGTAACAATCTGACTGACGGTTCGCAAAGAGCTCATGACAAGAGGTTATAGTGGATCTTATTATAGGGATGCCAAGACTGCCCGTGGGAGGAGAAATCTGGAGTGATTTGTCAACCTTCTTCAGCAAAGCTACTAGTGCTGCTTGTC